ACGACAAACGCGAATAGTACGACCATGTCGTGCTTTGCAGTACTCAGACTGTTTCAAATCACCGTGATTATAAAAAAAATAAAATTAATTGATTAACATTCAAAGATTAGAAACTGGGCAATCAAAATGCATCTAAATTAGTACCTTTGTTTAAACATTGTAACACCTAAGCTATGATTAATTTTTAGCTTCCAATACAACGCGAATAGTGCGACCATGTCGTACTTTGCAATACTCAGACTGTTTCAAAACACCGTGATTATAAAGACGGTTTTTCTAAATGCCTACGTTGCCGACGTTCGTTTTTATATTGACAGCTGTGTCGAATTATATTGGGTATTGTACCAAATGGCATATTCCACCTGTCCTTTTCGTACAATAATTATGAAGAAATCGAAGTAAAACTCCAGAAATCCTCTGGATTCATGCCTTCTGGGCCCTAATTGACTGCGGAGGGACCCCCTGCGCCATCTGTGATTTCCAGGTCAATTAAATTTTCACTCCGAGACCTCGTATTACCATCGTTTTAGCAAAGAAGCGCATACAACACTTTTTTTGCCTTTATCCCGTTCAAATGCGAGTTTATCGATTACCAGAGTGTTCTAAATTGTCGTAAAATTGTTCTGACCCTTTCGATTCTCATATCAGAGCCTTCGATAATTGTATATTGATCAAAATATGAGAGCACGACGCCATTTTGTCCTTATACGGAATACGTTTAAACCAAGTTTCGTCGAAATCCCTCCACTGCTTCTACGAAAATTATTATAAAAATTGAATTATCACCAAACTTTAGGGGGGTGTTTCGCCCCTTAAATGTGGACCATTGCAGATATAAGAAAAACACGTGTCTCTTAGATTTTTGTGTTCTTCAACATATATGAAAATCAATAAGATCGGGGGCGGACACTTGGGAATGTTTCCTTGTAAGCAACGCGTCTCGCGCTCGAAAACGCTCCTGGAGACATGCTCTCCCTCGTTTCTTATCTCCCCTTCGATTATCCGAGTACTTCCGCACCCCAAACTAGATGACAGCCCTGGGAAACGTCAAACATTCAGATTCTCTGGAAAAAAGAAGCTTTCCACCTGTTTCCCCTTCGACCTGTCCCCAAGCCAATCACATGAGACATTTCCCTCCTCAATCTTAAAAACCCACCAATAAGCATCCTCCTCCGCGCCTAGGAACATCCTAGGTGAGTATAAAAAGGCCCGCTCCGAAGGGCTCGCTCTCTGATCTATCGAAGTTTGAACTGTCTCCATTCTGNTTTGGTCTAATACCTTTAAAAAAAAGTGTTGTATTCGAATCGACTGGTTTGAAGGGGGTTTCACTTCACCTTAAGGTGAAGTGAAACACGTCGAGAAGCTTGATCGACGTCGATAAAGGAGATTTTTCTAAATGCCTACGTTGCCGACGTTTGTTTTTATATCGACAGCTGGGTCGGATTAAATTGGGTATTGTACAAAATGGCGTACTCCATCTGTCATTTTCGTACAATAAATATCAAGAAATCGAGGTAAAACACCAGAAATCCTCTGGATTCGTGCTTTCCGGGGCCCTAACTGACTGCAGAGGGATCCCTTGCGCCATCTGTGATATCTAGGTCAATTAAATTTTCACTCCGAGACCTCGTATTCCCATCGCCTTAGCACAAAATCGCATAAAACACTTTTTTTACCTTTATCCCGTTCAAATACGAGTTAATCGATTACCAGAGTGTTCTAAATTGTCGTAAAATTGTCCTGACCCTTTCGATTCTCATATCAGAGCCTTCTATAATTGTGTATTGATCGAAATATCAGAGCTCGACGCCATTTTGGTTCTGGTCTGAACTGAGTTAAAAAATTGTTGTGAAAGATCCAAACTTTGAATGTGTCAGGACAATTCTTAGATGATCAAAGTTTCGGACAGTTTGGTGTAATACCCTTAAAAAAAAAGTGTTGTATTCGAATCGACTGATTTGAAGGATGTTTCACTTCACCTTAAGTGATTAAAAACAAAAAAAAGAAGAAAATGGCGGGAAATATCGCAAGCGAGAATGCATTAATCGTCCCAGGGAGACAAAAAGCGTCCGATGACGCACGATATCTACGACCGTCCCCGCTGCACTCGGTCGTCACACACTCTCTGTTGGCACGCACGGCGACGCGCATCGAGAGAGAGAGAGATGGCGCTGGGTAGCTAGAGTTCGAAAATTCTCGGTAACATTAAATTGCAGAAGGTAACTGTGAAACATACCGTAAGTTACCGGGAACATTGAGAATAGAAGAGAACGTTAATTTTGTTACTTATACTTTAGGTTTCTTCGTTTAACCACTTGCGCTATAAAGACGTGCCACGCACGTCGAGATGCTTTTGTTCCAAAACTGGCAGCGACATGTATACCACGTGAACAGGCATTTGTCGCAGAAACAAAATCGACGGTCCGACAAGTCGGCTAACAGTTGGATCGTTCATTATTCGAGCTACAGTTCCAGAGTGCACAACATCGCGTAGCGTTATCGATATCTTGGAAATATTTCAGAATCGATAGAGTATATTATACGGATGTTATACCGCATGTTATATTGTAGAGCGCGGCACGGCAACCGAAAGTGGTTGAATAACTTTTTCTTTTCAATCGACTTCGAAGTTCAAGCTATGGAGTAATAATTGCTATTAGAAAATATTGATTAAAGGGTCGTATTTACCTCCAGGTAAAAATATTCACGCGTCTACGACTTGACGGAAAATACCATGCGATTTGTTTCAAACGAACTGATATTTCATTGAGCGACGAAGCGAATGGGAGGTTTCGATTGGCCACGGAGAACGTGAAACGGAAATTCCCCTCTACGATGTTTCTCTATAGCCAATCGAAACCTCTCGTTCGCTCCGTTGGAAAATTAAAATTCCGATAATTTCTCGATAAAAAGGGCTTTGGAGAAATGACTATTAGAAAATTTACGAAGCGAATGGGAGGTTTCGATTGGCCACGGAGAACGTGAAACGGAAATTCCCCTCTACGATGTTTCTCTACAGCCAATCGAAACCTCTCGTTCGCTCCGTTGGAAAATTAAAATTCCGATAATTCCTCGATAAAAAAGGCTTTGGAGAAATGACCGATAAGTTGCCTCGGGAGTTCCTCACCGTCTCTGACGTAACTTACTGAATTTAGAACTCTATCGGTAGCGCGACCGAGCGGACGGTTACGCGTAAACACCCGGTACATCGATGCACCGCGGCCCCCCCCCCGTTCCCTCCCACTCGAGGACGGCGCTGTCATCTCCAAACGGCGAGGGCGAAACCCTCCACCCCGGAGGAAGGTGCCCTTCGGGAGGGACGCCGCCGTCGCGGTCGGCGTCGTCCGGAGAGCGGGAAGCGGGCCGCGTAGCGGAAGAGCGACCGATCGCGCGGCCCCGGGGCCCGGAGACGTGGACGAGGGCGGGCGACGGCGAAGGTGGCGTCGCCGATCACGGGCACTGGCGGAGGATTCCGGCCGAGGAGTCGCGACCGAATCGGCGGGCCCGAGAGGGCGACCGCGCCGAGGAGACACTGTGCCGCTCGCCTGGCCGGCCGCCATTTGCTATGACGGTTGCGTAGAAATAAGAGCGTTACGGGAGAGGAAGCTAGGGACGAGTATGCCAGCTCTCCGACCGAGGTTGGCCCGCCTCTACCAGGGCGCACCGAGCCGAGGAATATCCCGACGCGACCGCGTCTCGGGGACGATCTGTCAACCTCTCTCTCTCGCGGGTAAACAATCGGGTTTTTCTTACCTTAACACTTCCTACGGCTAAAACGATTCTAGGCTTCGAATATCCCGACCCCACGCCACTCGTGCGGCATACGGCGAGCGTACGGGGAAAATCTGTATTACCATTGGCTCATTTCAGATAAGCCGCAAAAAGTAAGCCAATCGCCGTCGAGGTTTTACGTTTTGGTGAGTTTCTTTTTGCCCCCTCCTGTCCCCGTCCCTCGGGAACTCGGGAAGATGTCTGCTCGCGGAAATGGCGGGAAAGATCGGGCGAGCCCCGAGGGTGCGACCAAGCGGAACCGATCGAGTCGGACCGGACGTCGCGACGGAAGGACCGGGCAAGGGACCTCCGGACGAGGGGCCCGGACCCCCGACGCGTAGAAAATCCTCGCGGTGGACCACTTTCCGCGAGGGAAAAAGCGAGGTTAGGACGCCCCTTCGAGTAGGTGGCACCACTGACCGAGGCGGCAGCCGAGTAGCAACGAGTGACGTCGGCGCTGCCAACCTTGAGGACGTGCGCGACGTCGCACGGGCACCAGCTCGAGGCTCGGAGCTCCGTGGGAGCTCGAATGGCCTCTAGCGGAAGGGAAACGCGTCGAGGAGGCGAACGGGAAGGAAGATCGAGCGACGCGTCGGGAGGGACACTCGCCGAGGGTTCGGGCGATCGCTTCCGATGCTTCCCCACCGGGTTCGACGCTCCCCGACCGTGTGCAGTTTTCATGCAAAGTAGGAGTTTTAACGGGGACTAGGACTAACTTGCGTTTGCACTCACCGTGCGGAGCACGCGATTCCAATTGATTTCCTCCTCGACAGTCCCCGCGACCTCGAAGACGCCAAGCCTGTGGACGTAGGGAAGTCCGAGTAACCGACCCGAGTCGAGCGTTGCTTTTCCTATTTGGCCCCTAACGCGGGGGCAATGGATACTTTTCTTTTGGTCACGCTTTTACTTTCACGTCTTCCCTTGCGAGACTCTACGGTACAGTGGTCGAGTGCCGCGCGTAGAATGCGTATTTCGAATCGAAGAGGCGGTGTGTCGGGACGAACGATTGGTCCGATCTTCGGGCGCTATGTCGGAATTGGCCAATCGGTGCTCGGCGAGCTCGAAACCCACATTGGCCGACCCGCGCGGTGCGACTGCCCGCGACTGAATCGCGTCGCCGGGTGTCATTGGCCCGCCGCGGCGAGTCCAACCTCCCTCGGCCAATCGGAGAGCTCGATCGAACAAGATGGCGGCCGATGACCGACGTAGGTGGTTGGCTTCCCTGTCGTTCGCGTACGTCGTGGATTGCTTTTATTTCTTTGGGTTTGAGCGGATTCGCGTAGGTGTTCGTTGCTCCGGGTGTTCGACGCTGTTCGACGCTTGTGAAGGGTTTTGTGTCGCAAACGTGTCAATAAATGAAGGCGCAACGTCGCCGGCTGACTCGATGTAGAGTGTACGCGTTTCACCGACGGTGCGTTTTACTTTCTAAATTAACAGAATTTTAACGGTGAGATATTTACCCTTCGTGTTTCCGCTGACCATTATCTGTATTCTTTATTTTAGGCAAGCAGGTATACCAGGGAAGTGGTTGTGAGCAAAGGGACGGTATACCTTCCGGAGCTTTACTGTACCTGGCACATAATAGAACTCTTGTGCGATGAAACTCGAGTTTTCGCCCCACTGGGTGAAGTGTCGCCGTGATTTGCGTGTTACTATAAACACTGCTATTAACGAGTGCGTTCGGCTGTTCCTTTGGCCCCCTCGATGAAGTAACCGATTTGCGATTCGTGTCAACCGAGTGGAATCGAGTTGCACGGTAGATCGTCGGAGAGACCTCGAAACTTGCTATACTTGTGCAAAGACATAAGTAGATTTGAAACTTTTGTAATGCGATTCAACTTGTGCGTCGTTCTTCGTTTGAATGAGCTATCTTTTATCGATTCTCCAAAGGCTTTGATAATTCATAACGCAACAGGATGAATGGATTTAGCACAGGCGAAGAAGATTCTAGGGGAGCGGCCGATCAGGTGTGTTGCCTGGTGGACGAAGGAGAACGATGTTCACGACCAGCTGGCAATGCTTCTTATAGCAAACGGATTCAAAAAACCGTAACTCAAAGGAAGCTGAAATTGAATCTGGATAACATGGTGTGTACATAGAACTTAACGCTTTATCTATCGATGAGTTTGGAAATAAATAAAGATCGCAGATATCGTAAAGCTGATTAATCGGTTAATTGCATTTGACATGTATACGTGTCGGTAATCCGTAACGTTACAGTAAATTCCACAGTTAACGGGTTATTAATAGACTTCCGGTAAATAAAGTATTAACGCTGCCTTAGAGAGAAAATCCTTATGTACGATGGCCTATAAGTTGCCATATCATTTACAAGTGGTACAGCAATTTTTGAACCATTTTGTAGATGAAATGAATAGAATCTTATATTAAAGAAAGAAAACAATAATGATAATTAAATATTATGTTACATGAATTTTAGTAATCCTTATTAAACTTTATCAAGCTTTATTTACCAGGTATATGTATTATACCTATCACTTTGTCTCAGGGGTATCTTCTTTCTTTATAATAAATTTTTAAATACTTATTCTAATACTAAGTTCAGCATTAAGAGTAAAAACATGTTATTCGGTTCATCTGTTCTACAGGCCCGTCACATATATATTTGTGATTATCATAAGCAAGTAATCCAGTGTGCAAGATCAAAGCAGCAGCAGCAGCAACAATATCGGAGGAAAGATTCAGAAGAAGATTCAGGTGAAACGGATAACGATCTTCCAGAAGTAGATCTTTTTCAATTGCAAGTGGGTACTCTGAGACGTTATAAACGCCATTACAAAGTTTCTACACGGCTTGGTTTCAATAAAGCACAATTAGCTGATGTAAGTATCCTAGTATCTAATTTTATTATTAATTAATCAAAATGAGAGAAAGCAAGGCAGAAGCTACATAAGTTATAAATGAGTTTATTTAAACAATTTTTATGTAGCAATGTTATTTTATGACTGAAACGGTACCATTCCGTTTTACCTTCACAAGAAACTAACCTAGAAAAACATACCATACATTTTATAAGAAAGTGAGACAACTTATTAAGGCAAATTAAATTCAGTGCAAGAAATTCTTCCACAAAGGCTCCAACAAGAGGGTATCAATGAATTACATTAACATTTTTACAATATAATTACTTGTATCTATTTTGTTTGAATATTTGCACTTTTTTTACAATCTTCATTTTATCTCATCTCCTAATTTTTCAGATGAAATATTATACAATTTTAAATTCATGTAAAAATCTACCTGATTATATTTTTATCGGAAATATTTATTTCAATAAAACCAGTGGTCAAATGGTACCAGTTATAGACCAGTATTTATTCAACATTATTTGGCAATTGTAATATAAACCCAATAGAAGGACATTAATTTTGTGTACTACCTAGTTGAATTTAATATTTTGTTTATGATTATTTGAGGATTAGGTGAGGATTATTTGTGGACAAAGATTACTAAATGGTACGAAAAATACTGTTGTTGGAATTGACACACGTGATTCAGGGTTCTTTAGAGTCTAGATTTAATGTCAACTGTTCAATTTTCTCAGATTTAAAATGTATTTGGCCAATACTTTACCGAGTTTCGTGACATTTAGAATGGTAGAAATTTTAAAGCATCGAAGGGTAAAAAGAACATACTCTATGTATTATTTTATTTTACATTTCAAGAATATATATCGAGTCCCATAAGAAATTTGTATTAATTTTAGTCATTTAAACAATCTAAGAACGTTTTTAAATTACAATTAATACTAAAGTTTGATTTCATACATAATTAAGAATGAAATTTTAATTATAACTTACTACTTTAAAGCATACTGGGTGGGGCACTTAAAACATTGATGTATTTGGTGAACATAAGCATTGTAGGGAAAAAAGTGTCAAATAAAGTTTCTCGATTTTGAGGGGAAGTATAATTCTAGTCATTTAAACAATCTAAGAACGTTGTTAAATTACAATTAATACTAAAGTTTGATTTCATACATAATTAAGAATGAAATTTTAATTATAACTTACCAATTTAAAGCATACTGGGTGGGGCACTTAATTTAAAACACTGACATATTTGGTGAACATAAGCATTGTAGGGAAAAAAGTGTCAAATAAAAGTTTCTCGATTTTGAGGGGGAAGTATAATGGAAAAGTTCATTATTCATTGGAATGGTCATATTCAAGGACATTTCAGGGTCAACTTTAGTTTTTTAAATGGAAATCCTATTTTTATTATTGCAACATTATATTCCTTGAACAAAAAATAAGTAACTTTTATCGGAAACATTTATTTATGCTGTTTCAATTTTGCAAGATAATAATAAAAATAATGTCAAGAACGTTTAATTCTACGTTACCTTATTCAATAGCTCCGCTTTACTATTTACATCAGTGATTTTTGTTTTCACTATTCACTTTCATCACTTTCACTATTTACATCTATGTACCGCACAAGAAATGATCCAGGGATGTAAGATCTAGATCTAGACCATGCAATTGGACCACCTTTGCCAATTCAACGACCATTGTAAACATCGTGGTTTCAGCACGATGCTCATTTCTCTCGAACTACTTGAAAAATCTTCAATCAGGACTATAATGGCTGTTGAATTGGCAGTGGTGGATCAATTGCATGGCCTCCTAGATCACTAGATCTTACTACCCTGGATCTTTCCCTGCGATACCCCTACAGAACAAACTTACCAGAAAGTTCCAACTACTCCACAAAATATGAGAGAACGCATTAAAAAGGCGTGTAACATATCAATGAACTGACATTAATCCAATGTTATTATTCATTTATAACGCGTATTAACAAATACATTGAGGTTAGAAGGTACCATTTTAACATTCATTAAAATGAAGGCGATTCCTTTTTTTTCATCTTCACAAAAACTGACCGATGTAAATAGTAAAGCGAAGCTACTGAATAAGGTAACTTAGAATGAAACGTTCTTGACATTAATTTTATTATTGTCTGGCGAAATTGAAGCATTATAAAATAAAATGTTTCCATTAAAAGTTACTTCTTTTTTGTTCAAGGAATGCAATGTTGCAATAAAAAGAATGGGACTTCCATTTAAAAAACTAAAGCTCACCCTTAAATGACTATTCAAATAAATAATGAACATTACCATTATACTTCCCCCTCAAGATCAAGAAACTTTTATTTGACACTTTTTTCCCTGCAATGCTTATCTTCACCAGCTACGTCAGTATTTTAAGGGTCTGATGTAAATATCTGTTGAAAACTGATAAATGTCCACGTAACGATAAGTATGGTGCATTATATCGAACAGTTATCAAAATATCAAAACTATTAATACATTATGTACCTTATAGTTTTAGTTATGTACAATTTTTATTTTAATAACTTTTCATATTCGAAAAGTGATTTAAATTGGAGCATGTTTTTCATGTTGTACCTCTTAAAATCATATACTTTTCTTGATTGTGTTAAAAAATGTTTTCATACAACTTCAAATCGTTCATGACTTCAGGTCCATTTAGACCCGAATTGATTTTCTTTTTTCAATTATACTTCTTTCCTTCACATGTTTTAGGTATGTTTTTGATTACCTAAAAATTAATTATACAAACAAATTCGCAGTAATTTTCGTATTATATTATCAAGGGCCTATTTGAACTCGGTGGCAGTAAACGATGCAATGAAAAGTGAAGAAGGTTGTGAACTTAGGTAAAAAATAAAGTAACACACCTACATTGTTGATTTCAATTGCATTTTAACCAATAACATTTTGTAGTCGATAACAATTATGACTATGTGACTGTAATATTACGTACAAATTGGCTTCGGGGTGGAAGTCCTGTGTGAACTTTTTGCCTTGCCGATGTTTTGCCTGCATTGCAGCGAACATCATCAGGGCTAGAAAGCACTGATGTAATTGTGCCTCCATGTGACTCTAATATTTATATATTTTTTAATTACACTACAATGCAATTATAAATAATGATTTTAATTTTACACCTAACCTTAGAATGATTACACCTGGTATATGCAGATTCATGAAAATGTTTTAATTCTTATCACGTCAATGATTTAAAAAAAAAATGTATAAAATCGTAGAGAAATCTTCATTGTACACTTTTTATAATATTTTCAAGTATTTGATAATGAACTACAATTATCATATGATTATTGAATTTTTTAATGAGTCTCGTAAAATTGAAAAATGTTTTGTAAATATATAACAGCTTTAATGGAAAAAAAGTTGCTAAATCTAACACGGCATTTTCCTTCCTATAATAATAACGTGTTATTGAAGATTTAGAATACTGTTACCGGATGGAGAAAAACGATCGCGCGGACGCAATTTCAGGAGTTGGGAGTCAAAGCTCTAATCCTTCGATGTAAAACACTCAAAGCAGATAATTGCCCCACGTTTCTTTAGCCAGGTGATACACGTACTTAAGGTGAAGTGAAACGCGTCGAGGAACTTGATCAATGTCGGTAAAGAAGATTTTTCTAAATGCCTACAATGCCGACGTTAGTTTTTATTTCGACAGCTGTATCGAATTATATTGGGTATTGTACCAAATGGCATACTCCACCTGTCGTTTTCGTACAATAAATTTCAAGAAATCGAGGTAAAACTCCAGAAATCCTCTGGATTCGTTTTGGGCTTTCTGGGGGCCTAATTGACTGCAGAGGGACCCCCTGCGCCATCTGTGATTTCCAGGTCAATTAAATTTTCACTCCGAGATCTCGTATTTTAGCACAGAAGCGTATACAACACTTTTTTGCCCTTATCCCTTTCAAATGCGAGTTTATCGATTATCAGAATGTTCTAAATTGTCGTAAAATTGTCTTGACCCTTTCGATTCTCATATCAGAGCCTTCGATAATTGTATATTGATCGAAATATGAGAGCTTAACGCCATTTTGGTTCTGGTCTGGACAGAATTAAAAAATTTTTTCCAAAAATCCAAATTTTGAACGTGTCAGGGCAATTCTTAGAAGATCAGGAGTGACGTGTCAAAGTTTCGGACAGTTTGGTCTAATACCCTTTACAAAAAGTGTTGTATTCGAATCGACCGATTTGAAGGGTGTTTCACTTCACCTTAACATTTCTGAAGCTCGTCATCAAATATTTCGGCCCATCTGTAAAACATTTTGTTACATGTCATGATCAAACCAATGCACCAAGGCAAACGAGATATTTGTCCTGCTGGTTCCTTGGATTGAAAGTGTTGTGTATACAAAACGTACAGTTCTCAGACAACTCTTGTCGCAAGATTTTTCTTTACGGATTCCGCGTTTGTAACGTGTTAACAATTTGACCTACGGCTCGTCACGGTGCTTCGCTACATATTGTGCACCCAAACTTGGTTGATTACATAATACAACCTAATAATATTTTGATTGCGACGAATTACCCGATCAAGGAATGCTACTTAACCAATGCTACTTATGAAATCGTTGTATTAAGGTGAAGTGAAACACCCTTCAAACCAATCGATTCGAATCCAACACTTTTTTTTTAAGGGTATTAGACCAAACTGTCCGAAACTTTGACACATCACCCCTGATCATCTAAGAATTGTCCTGACACATTGAAAATTTGGATTTCATAAGAAAATTTTTTAACTCAGCCCAGACCAGAACCATAATGGCGTCGAGCTGTCATATTTCGATCGATATATAATTATGGAAGGCTCTGATATGAGAATCGAAAGGGTCAGGACAATTTTACGACAATTTAGGACACTCTGGTAATCGATAAATTCGCATTTGAACGGGATAAGGGCAAAATAGTGTTGTATACGCTTCTATGCTAAAACGATGGGAATACGAGGTCTCGGAGTGAAAATTTAATTGATCTGGAAATCACAGATGGCGCAGGGGGTCCCCCTGTAGTCAATTAGGGCCCCAGAAAGCACGAATCCAGAGGATTTCAGGAGTTTTACTTCGATTTCTTTATAATTATTGTACGAAAACGATAGGTGGAGTATGCCATTTGGTATAATACCCAATATAATTCGATACAGCTGTCGAAATAAAAACGAACGTCGGCAATGTAGGCATTTAGAAAAATCTTCTTTATCGACGTCGATCAAGTTCCTCGACGTGTTTCACTTCACCTTAATAAAATGCGTCAAAGAAAGTATTTTCTTCCTCTTCTTCCTATGCTCGCCACGTGTATCCGACAGGACACTCACAAAGTGCGGAATATGAATGAAAACTTTCGCGTTTACGTCGTAATCTTTGGATATACATATGAAACGTAGAACTTCGATTCACTCTAGCGTGGGAAGAGGAACTTATAATGTTATGCGGTTCAACGTCTTGTATTAAGATGAAGTGAAACACCCTTCAAACCAATCGATTCGAATACAACACTTTTTTTTAAGGGTATTAGACCAAACTGTCTGAAACTTTGACACATCACCCCTGATCATCTAAGAATTGTCCTGACACATTGAAAATTTGGATTTTTTAACAAAATTTTTTAACTCAGCCCAGACCAGAACCAAAATGGCGTCGAGCTCTTATATTTCGATCGATATACAATTATCGAAGGCTCTGATATGAGAAACGAAAGGGTCAGGACAATTTTACGACAATTTAGAACACTCTGGTAATCGATAAACTCGCATTTGAACGGGATAAGGGCAAAATAGTGTTGTATACGCTTCTGTGCAAAAATGATGGTAATACGAGGTCTCGGAGTGAAAATTTAATTGACCTGGAAATCACAGATGGCGCAGGGGGTCCCTCAGCAGTCAATTAGGGCCCCAGAAAGCATGAATCCAGAGGATTTCTGGAGTTTTACTTCGATTTCTTGATAATTATTGTACGAAAACGACAGGTGGAGTATGCCATTTGGTACAATACCCAATATAATTCGATACAGCTGTCGAAATAAAAACGAACGTCGGCAATGTAGGCATTTAGAAGAATCTTCTTTATCGACGTCGATCAAGTTCCTCGACGTGTTTCACTTCACCTTAACCTAAGAAAACCGGTGGTATATTTCTCGATAAACGTTCGAGCCCAGTCTATGCTATACTGGAAGATGGAAGGATACCTGTACAACCAATAAAGATTATTATTATAGATTGTGTTCATCAATTATACTAATTTTAAACTAAGTCATAATCGCGAGTGTCCATAGTCATAGTCGAATAAAGAAGAAATTATGTCGATTTATAAAAGCCTTACAGATTGTCTCGCAATTCTTATTTTTTATATTGCCCGACGTTTCACTATAAACAGTTGTATAACTTCATGTTCAGATGCACAGAATTATTTTGCCATGCTGCCTTACTTTACCCTATTTAAATGTTAAATCGCGATGAAAGGCAAATCCGTCACGTTTCAATATGATTGTGATATAACTACCATTGTACTTACAATATGTATAACGTTTAATATGTTTGATTGCAGACTCTTATGAAACATTTCAAAACTATCCCCGTAGTAGAAAAAGAAGCACTCAGTTTTTTTATTTACACAGTCAAGACGAATGCAAATAAGTTAGATCAAAAAAATGGATTGAGCAGTGACACTACATAGTCTTTTTGAATCTTCAAGCCTGTGGACGTAATCAATCTAGTGAGATATGAAATATAAGTATAGCTTTTTACTTGTTATTAAATGTAGATACTTTTTAAGAATAAAGTACATATGATAATGCTTATTAACATTACAATATATGTATAAAGTTGATGTTTATTTCTTTCTTTTTTAATGTATTTGTATTATTTATGGTATAAAAAAATAATTTAATATAGGGTCCACGCGACACCGCTGCTACCTGAACCAAATTCGGTGTGTGGACCCGCCGTAACATTTGCACGACTGAAACAGCAAAGGAAACATGTTTTTAAAATTACCTTTATAGGTAAGTATTACACAATTGTGTTCATACGACATTTATGATATTTTCCTTTTGATTTCACTGTTTATATTTAAGTTTATGCCAAGGAATATCTTCAAAATATTAACGGCGTTCACCACCAAAGTGGGGACGCTGACTTCCACCGCTAGATGGCATTAGCATCGAATTCGGTGGGAGGTAACCAAAACGTACTTTCTCGCTCGGATGAGGGAGACGCGACGCACAATGGGCGGTGTTTAGCAACGGGCGAAAAATGCGTGCGTATTTTGCACGTATAGGACTCACACAACGGCTGGACGCCTCTGGACTAGGCGCCGAAACGTGGGTGACCCCCGGCCGCCCGCACACGCCAGTTGGACGCTCCGCCTAGAGTCGGCAACGGTTACTAAGGAATGCCCAAATTCCTCGCGGGAAACTCGAAAATCCTGAAAAAGGTGCTCCACGGGGACAACGATTTTGAGCGTATTTCTCAACCGATCGAGCTCAACGAGTGCTCGTTTTAAAGATAAAATGTTGACGTGTGTTTATATGGGAGCGATTTTCGATCGAGCACCTCCTTCCTAGGTAAAAGGGCATTGAAATTATGTCGTTGCACTTTTTTATATGAAAATGACCACTTATCGAAAATCGCTCCCATATAAACACAGGTCAACATTTCATCTTCGATATGAGCACTCGTTAAGCTCGATCGGTTTAGAAATACGTTCGGAATCGTTGTCCCCGTGAGGCCCTGCAAAATCGCTGGAGTGGTGAGCGCCCTTAATATTGTTACTTTATAACGTCTACTTGACACATTTCCAATTGACATTACAAATTACATTAACCTTAGCCTAAAGACTGAAAGAGAGAAGGACTCGGATCGAGAGGGATGGAAAGATAAAAATTCAACTACAAATCAGGATTCTTAGCAACCTCGATATGTGTGAAACCACTGAATAAGAGTCATCGAAAGTGTGTCAGGGTATACTGTACCCTATCTGACAAAAACGTCTTAAAAATTATTTCCAAACAGAAGATTCTTGATAAGTATTACTTTACGGTCCTAACACTGAACTATAGTAATATTGAAACGCGCACAACCACGGTCTTATGTACAGGTAATGAATTCCGATGTCATCTAGAAGAAGCCCATTGCTTGGTTAAGGTGAAGTGAAACACCCTTCAAACCAGTCGATTCGAATACAACACTTTTTTTTAAGGGTATTAGACCAAACTGTCCGAAACTTTGACACATCACCCCTGATCATCTGAGAATTGTCCTGACACATTGAAAATTTGGATTTCATAACAAAATTTTTTAACTCAGCCCAGACCAGAACCAAAATGGCGTCGAGCTCTTATATTTCGATCGATATACAATTATCGAAGGCTCTGATATGAGAAACGAAAGGGTCAGGACAATTTTACGACAATTTAGAACACTCTGGTAATCGATAAACTCGCATTTGAACGGGATAAACTGATCGGGGATCGACTGATTTGAAGGGTGTTTCACTTCACCTTAAGTGATTAGTACTATTTACAATAGAAATGTTGGTTGAAACCAGAAAGATCGGTAGAAACCAGAAAGGTTGGTAGAAAATAGAAAAGTTGATAGAAAATGTTCGTACATTTATAATAATTATACATATTTCTTTTTCTATCCGTTATTCATTTTCATCCCAGACTATCAAGGCTGCAAGGGACTACGCTAAAGGCTCTGTTGAGGAAATATCATGCTCTCATACGTTTACAAAACGAAATAGTTTTATCTACGATTCTTTGTCGATTAAATGATACCGATTTGGGGTTGAATTGTACCATTTATATTGACCAGAATTTAAAAATCATGCTATAAACATCGTTCCCAATAACTCCATTAAAAATCCATTAAAGGCAGTAAATGGTAAACAAAATTATTATAAAACGATTAGTTTGTATGATTTACATTTTCGAAATAGTACTAATGAACAAGGATGTATAGATGGTCGTGCACTTATAAGACACGTATCATATGAGGTCGCAGTTGAGTACATCATTGTCGCGTGACCGTCCAGAAATTTTGCTTCAGTGGCGCCATTTAGAAAAATTATATCATATAAAAAGCATGCAAACTATGTTCTTTGAAAATTTTCGTTAGTATTTTGATTAGCTCATTTTTTGTCGAGAATCGCGTCAACTATTTATTCGGTGATATTTCTGAGAGAGAAACATCTTGAATGGCAAAAGTTATAAATATATGAACATATTATATATATACGTATAACTAGTATTGCTGTTACGTCAGTTGAGTCTATCGGCCGAGGCCGACCGCACCTAGAGACTTATGCCTCACTAGCGGCTCCCCCATTTCTGGGGGGATTTAAACCCATCTACCTCCAGCACCCCCGCTACCAAGGGGGCCTGGAGGCCCATGACGAGCTTGGAAAAACCCGAATGCTCTGGACCGCTCGTTCAAACCCCGGGGAGGCGCTGTTAGGTCAGGGATTGATTACTCAGGAGCGGCGATAGCGGTTGCCCAAGGATATCGATCGGACTGGGCCTCGTGGGTTTGTTTTTGGGACTCGCTTCCAGATGTTTGAAACCAGCCAAAGACCTCATCGAGCAAAGTAATAAAGATACTTTATTGTTGGTGCCTCTTGGTTTATAGGAACGACTCGTAGACTCGGTCAATTCAAGGGGACTAGCGTTCGCCGAAAGTTACAGGTGTCTCGCACGCAGGTTACAGAATGGAGACAGTTCAAACTTCGACAGATCAGAGAGCGAGCCCTTCGGTACGGGCCTTTTTATACTGACCTAGGAGGTTCCTAGGCGCGGAGGAGGATGCTTATTGGTGGGTTTTTAAGATTGAGGAGGGAAATGTTTCATGTGATTGGCTTGGGGACAGGTCGAAGGGGAAACAGGTGGAAAGCGTCTTTTTCCAGAGAATCTGAATGTTTGACGTTTCCCAGGGCTGTCATCTAGTTTGGGGTGCGGAAGTACTCGGATAAACAAAGGGGAGATAAGAAACAAGGGAGAGCACGTCTCCAGGAGCGTTTTAGAGCGCGAGACGCGTTGCTTACAAGGAAGGTACCTGAGGTGTCCCCCTCCGATTTTGTTCATTTTTAAATATGTTATAGAGGACTAAAATCTAAAGGACCCGTGTTTTTTTTTATCGGCGGATAAACACTTTTAGGGGGTGAAATCAGGCTTCAAGGTTGGCCGTGCAAGGGGGTGAGTTGGCTGTTTCATATAGAAGCACTCAACCGATTTTCATGAAACAACCGTCAAAATGTAGGGAATGAAGAATTATGAAACATGCATTTGGAATTTTTCGAAAAAATTCATTTTTAAGGGGTGAGCCACCCCTTTGAATACTTCTTTTACCCCTTGTGCGAGCAGTGGTTGCTCTATCCAAATGAAAGTTGGTTAATTTATAGACCAGAACAATACAAAAAAAGTTTCATTAGGATAGAACTATTACTGCTCGCGTAAGGGGTAAAAGAAGTATTCAAAGGGGTGGCTTACTCCTTAAAAATGAATTTTTTCGAAAAATTCCAAATGCATGTTTCATAATTCTTCATTCCCTACATTTTGACGGTTGTTTCGTGAAAATCGGTCGAGTACCTCTATATGAAACAGCCAAATCACCTCCTTGCACGGCCAACTTTGAAGCTTGATTTCACCCCCTAAAAGTGTTTATCCACCGATAAAAAAAAAACACGTGTCCCTTAGATTTTAGTCCTCTGTAACATATTTAAAAATGAACAAAATCGGAGGGGGACACCTCAGGTACCTTCCTTGTTAGTCTCTTTCTTAATATTACTTAAAATAAAACGTTAGGTAGGGACCTAACAGCGCTGGCCGGGTCGGGGCCTCCGCGACGCACTCCCCGAAGGGAGGCCGCTTGACCCCCCGCCCGTTGCCCGCGGGGAACCCCGTGAAGGTCCCTACCCTGCACCCGCGTGGTGCGAGCATTCGTGCAAGGCGCCAGCTGACAAGGAAACTCCTCGAGGTGTCCGTCTCCGATTTTCTTGAAATTTAAATATGTCGTAGAGGATCGAAAAATAAGGGACACGTATTTTTTTTTATCGGCCCAATCCCCTATTTAAGGGGTGAAAACCGCCCCTAAAGTTTACCCCCAAAAACGGTTTTTTCTAAATATCTGGAGTTGTAATCGATGTTTTGAAATGAATCAAAGTGCAAAATATTTCTCTCTAGTAGGCGAAACTACTGATAGTAATTCGGACCTCGGGGGTAGTAACTCTTATATTTTATTTCAGAAAAACGATATTCTTTCAAACATTTTTGAATATAATATTTGCAATAAAATTAAATAAATTTCGGAAAAATCATATTCGTGTTTAAAATTGAAAAATAAAGTTGATGTCTTTCAGGATTTTCACAAATAACAGCGTTACCGGGGGTAAACAACCCCTTAAGTGCAGAATAGTTTTGTACAATTTGAATAAATATTTTAAGTGTACAGTATGTACACTATGTTTATAACTGAATCAGCATTTTTTTCATCAGCCTAAACATCTCTTAAACAGATAAATACCTTGAATTAAGATTCGAGTGTATTTTATGTAGGTGAATGAAATGGACGTGATCTGGAAAAGGATACGTGAAACAAATTAATACACATTCTATGGATAAAAGTCTGCGTTAGTGAATCACAATTTCTATTTATTAAATTAATTAATGCAAGAGAAATATTAGGCATCGTTCACTTTTATTTATGTATAAACCGATTGTTTCTTATCATGATTAATTTTTGAAGGATTGAACAGTTTGATTGAACAGTAATGGAATTCTTCAAAAAAGTGCTGTAAACATAGTGATTTCTG